ATATGAGTAAGCGAGGTGTGTGTGTACAGCACGGAATAGCAGCCCTCCCCATGTCGTCCGGACGCTCGCCAACTCCCCCCCCCGTTTTCCCCCCCTCACCCCTCACCTCTGTGCACCAGGTGCAGTGAATGTAGGTGTCTCAGAGCCAGGGCCACATCCAACAGGGTCATGTACACACCCTGTACGGGAGGTGGCGAGGGGAGGGGGAGGGCGAGGGGAGGGCGAGGGGGGGGAAGGGGAGGAGTCACATGCGAGAAGCAAAGTGTCAACTGCCGATGTCCAAAATATTAACTGACAGAAAAGGGGAGATGAGGGGGCACGGGGCCCGTAACAAGAGAGTATACATATAGAGGAGGGGTTCGGTAGGAAGGGTTAGGAGAGGAGGGCGGGACAGGGCTGGGGGCGGGGTAGGGAAGCTGGACAAGCAAAAACGGAGGGCACTATAGCAGCCACAATCACGCGCACCCCTTCATCCCGTTCCCATCCCCCTCCCTCCTCCACTGGCATTCGAATTCGCACGTGTCACACATAACTCACTCACTCAGTCCTACTTACATACAATACCTCACCGTATCCACACCACAGCAGTCCCGTCCCACCGTTCCACCAGAACTCCAGCCGATCCGCAGGTAGAGCCCCACACACACCGAACACAAACACCCACGTGCGGTCCCAAACCCGGCTCCTACATCTTTGACTAGCGGACCCTCTCCCCGGATACAGACTTCTATCAATGTACATACACACGCTCACCTTCATGTCCACCATGAACTGGGCCCTCAGGGGAATGGCTCCGTCTGCATCCCGCTCCCGGTACACGGCCTTAGGGAAGGTGCGGGCGGACAGAGCACCGCCCAGGGAGCCGCAGTCGCACAACTCGAAGGCGGCAGCCACACAGGGTACGTGGCGCCGCTCTAGACGGAGGTGGTTCGGGAAGGCGGCCGCGGGGCGGGGAGGGGAACGCGTTGGGAAGAGTTACAAAGTGGTGGTAAAGCTGCCGAGCCGTCGTCGACATCGCTGCCCCATGATATCTGGCAAGTCTCAGCCTATCCCAGCCCACCCGAATTGCCAAAAAAAACTCCCAAACCCCCACATCGGCCCTCCACATCTCTAGCCGGCCAGGCCCGCCCAGACCAGCCTCCACTGTAGCCGTACCCTTGGCGTTTGAGTCCCCCTCATTTGGCCCCGGGCAATTAAGTGCCGCTGGGTAGAGGCGGCAGGTGCTCCCGGGGTAGCCAGGGGGCCCCTTTTTAGACACCATCACCACATCGTTGTAGGTGGCATAAATCTGCATGCATGCAGGCGGGTGGGTGGGTAGGTGAATAAGCTGCATGCTGAGATCTGAACACGACATGTTGATGGAAATGAACATCAACCACCGGCTGAAAGAGGTCTGAAAAGCCATGCGGGCACGGGGTTCGGGAGGCGGTGCGTGAGCAGCGCATGCACTTGGACCTTTGACAAGGGCGGCTTCCGGTGATTTTGGTTTAGGAGATAGGATACACAGGAAAGTGCTACCAGGAGAAAGCCAAACCAACGCCAGGAGACATCAAGGCATATTGGTGAAAGTGCGACCCCCAAGGTATATAGCGCATATGGTGCCTTCTTACACTTTACACGCACCCTTCCTATTTTTTAAATTACGTCTAGCCATCTGTTGGCCGGCAGGGCCACAGCCAGCAAACCCAAGGGTGTGTCGCATCCCACACGTTCCCAACCTCGGACATATGCACACGAATGTGGAGCTGTCACACACGCGAAGGGTCACCCCACCCTTGCCCACCTGCACTATGTTGGGATGCGAGACCCTGCACGACAGATAGGGACAGGGGGCATATACAGCACGCGGAGGTCAGGTATGGGGATGGGCGCGGCAACCAGACCATTTAAGCACCAAGATAATACGTTGGGGGAAGCAAGAATGATTATTTTTTGCATTGCAGAGCTGGATAGGTGTAAGGGGCACGACATGGTGGGAAGACGCGTTCAGTTAAGGAAGCTCCTAAGAAAGCGCCGCAAAGAATCGCTATCCGCCGCACGATAAAACTTAACTGGCCTGGTCTGGTGACACCACTGCATTTAGCAGGTTACAATCCTGGGTGCGATTCTTAGTCAGATCCCCAACATTGATCGGGAGAATGAAGCTATGGCTAGCTACTGGGGTGGGGAGATGAGGTCTAGTTGATGGCTTTCGGATGCCGGGTTAGTGGCGATTGCTGATCTGTCTCTACGGATATCTGGTGACTGGATGAGGATGGGTCTAGACGGCAGGAACCTAACCGCCTTCGACTTTCCATTCTTACGGCGGAATTGATTTTAAATACATACTAGGGTTTGGCACTACTGGTAAGGCGCGACCATTGCCCCCGGGAGATCCCGGGATCGATACCCATTAGGGTCAAAAGTCCTTCCGATGGTGGAAGGCATTGCGCCCCTAGTTGATGGACGGTGGTGACCTGGGATAAAGTTAACCTGCGAGCCGACCAGGAATGGAGTTGGGCAGCTGTCGACCCGGCAGATTCCGTTGGATGCTGGTGGTGGGTGCGGAACCTGAGCGATCCACTGAGAAGTTGACTAGGGTGACTGGATGAGGGTGCCCTGAAATACCGGGGAAGGCAGGGTTTCGCAGGGTAGCTGCCACGGGCGAAGATACACCCCCCTGTTTCACACATCATATGGTCCATAGCCCCCGGGCTTTGACGGGCACCCCCGCATTCGTGCGGAACTTGAAACTTGTACAACTCAGGACGGCTTCGGGGTGAAATCTGGTTGACATCCTGTTGCTTGACTGCCGCCCCGACGAGATATGCCCCAGTAACGCTCCCGTGTGGGCGTCGCACATTGCGCAAGGCACCTCACCCAGTGTATACCCAGAGCTCAAGCCCCACCTGCTTTGCACCGCAAGCTCGGTGGCGTTCCGCAGCATCTCCCGCCGCGCATTCAGGCATATCTTGTCAGCCGCCGCTGTCGCCGAGTCCTCGCCTTTCCCACCACCGCCGCCGTTAACGCCACCTGTACCTGCTTGCGCCGCCGGCGCAGCAGTCCCCTTGCGCTGCGCAGCTGCTACTGAGTCAGCCGAGGGATCCACTTTCGGCATCTCCATCAGCTGAAGGATTTGCGCAGGACAGCAAAGAAAGAATCCAGCAGCATTGGAGGAAAGAAACAAGTAGAGGATAATAGTCACGATAACCAGCATAATAAGTATGCGCCCTCTCAGGCCCTCCCAATTGCTTAAAAAGGACCCTGGCGCCGATTGCTACAGCCGATTACGCTATTATGCAGCAACTTATCCACCCGCCCAGTCACAACTGCCCAACCTTTCTGTCCATCGAGCGCGAGCACACCCGGCTTGGCCCAACCCGCTGGCCGCGGGGCGACCCCAAACCCCTCCTACGCCGGTCCATAAGGCGATGCCGCACAGCACGCACCTTGACCGCGACATCCAGCGTGCCCAGCTTCCCCTTGAATACGGTGCCGCCACCGCCCTGACCCAACACATCCCCCAGCTCTAGGGCGTCCAGGTCGTCCATAGGGGAGCTGCTGCAGTACATCAGAAAGTACAGTACAACAACACGATTACGTGTAATAGAGCGCGTTACATCGCAGAGCGGCCATGCCCTGAGTCCCGCAGGACCTCTGCGCCATGTATTTGGCCGCCAGGGACCCGCAGACCGGCTTGGTAGCTGCAACCCCGCCCTCCATTGCTCTTACATGGAACTAGTTAACCCTTAATCCTTTGGAAACAAAGCCATGTAGGCCGGCTGGTCATGCCGATTTCCGGCTTTTCCAGAGACTTTTCCAGCTGGGAGTATCCCATTTGTTTGTAAATATCACGCCACCCTGCCCCGGCAGGGCCGGTCCCCCTTTAAGCACCTGGTGCCGCCGGCAGCATGATCCGTGTTGATTGTGGCATAGATGCTGCTGACAAGCAAGTCTAGCTGCTGCCTCGCCGTCGCGGCGTTGTCCACAGCTGACACTGTAATGATGTGCGCCGTAGTGAACAGGCCGCCACCGCCGCAACCAGCGCCACCATTCTCCAAACCCACCAGGCTGCGAGAGGAGCCTGTACGCAGTGGCGGCGCCTGGTGTGAGAACCCCGCCAGTACGTCGTTGGGGTTGGACTGCAGCAGCTGGCTCAGACTAAGCGGCTCCACGCACTCGGCTCCAGCAGTGGCGACGGCACCGCCGCCGCCTCCGGCGGTGCCTAAAGGCCCCAGGCCCGAGGCAGTAAGGGCGCGCCTTTCAGTTGTTCCAGTACAGCGGACTGATAGCGGCGACGCAGAGTGGTGCGGTGCAACGGCGGCGCGGCCGGCCATGGCGATAGCGCCGGGGGAACCGCCGCCCCCAATCATGCAAGCGGCTGTGGAACCTCGTTGGGTGGAGCTTGTGGCCGCGAGTGTGCGATCCTGTCCGGAGCGGCGGCCGGCGCTGACAGAACCACCTATGCACAGGTGGTGTCGGCAAGGTCAGCGAGGCAAAGCGATTGGGACCTGGCGGTAGAGGTACTTGGGGGAGTGAAAATGACAACAGGAACTGCAGCGAAATACCAGGGGACCGTAGCGCCTAGGTGCCAAAAGGCATAGCGGTAGCGATGGCGATGACGGATGTGCGATAGGCAGAAGGGTTGCTCAAGTGATAGCACGGGACCGGGTCTCATGCCAGGTCTCGACCGCGACGATAGCCCCCAACAGCAACACACCCAACGGTCGCTTCCCTGCCCATTGAGATTTGGAGAGGCAACCGCTGTGGCTTACACGGCCATGCTCTTAAGAAGTCAGTTCGGAAGGCCATCCTCTCTCCCTGTCTCACTATGGCACCCCGCTTAACCCGCTGCATTGCCCTTCTCTACATTTGTCTATATGCCATCTTAAGGATGCGGACCCAGTACCAAGCTCAGCCCCATTCTCCACCCAAAGCTGTCTCAGGCCCATTTCGCCAACTTACGCCTCGTGGATGCCTCTAATGGGGCCCCACCAGCCTGCGCCTGTGCCTGCAGCGCAAGCAGCACCTCCATGTCGGCCGTGGATAGCTCGCCACTGAGCAGCTCCGACGGACTGGCCCCCGCCGCAGCAGCCGCCTCGGGGCCTCCGACAGCTGGCCCCAAATCGCTGCCCGTCACAGTGGACATGCAGGCGGCACTCAGCGCTGCAGGAGCCTGGGAGCCGCAGAAGCTCGGGCTGCGAGAATGGGTTTAAACGTGTGGGCGGCGGGGGGCGGGGGAAAGAGCGAGGTTTCAAGAAAGGAAAACAGTGGTGGGAAGCTACTTGAAGGGCATCGGGGCGAGGAACGTCAAGGACCCAGTCCCCGGGGTCCAACCCAGGCCGGGCGCAACCATGAATAGCCTGCCGGACGGGCGAACAGCTGAATGACTGTTGCGGCCCCTGCATCGCGGCCGCCACCTTCAGAACACAAAGGGGAATAAGTACCGGTTCCGGAGCAACGTATCACTTCAACCTCCCCTAATCCGGACGCCATAGCAGCAGTAGACACTACACCAAGGGAATTAACGTGCGCGGGGTCGACGCTGCAGACGAATACCCCCCTAACCATCCACTAACCTGCGTACGACAGCATAGGACCCAGGGCTTGCGCTGCACAGCGTTTCAAACTCAGGCGCGATGGCGGCGCCCTTCAACTTTGTGCGGATTACCGGCGCCAGGGCCTGGGGGCCATCAGGTGGAGGGGTGGGGTTAGTAGGCGGAGAAGAAGCAATACTAAGATCCTGGCATACTTTCATGGCGGACCGATAATCCAATCCCATTTTCCAACCACCGTCCCGCCACTCCGTTCCGCATCGTACCTCTCCCAAGCCAACCAGGGCCCCCTCCGCATTCGCATCCAACGCCATTCGCATCCAAGTAGCAGGCGCCCCATCCCCTTCACCTTCTACCACGCTCCTCCCCACCACCCCCCTTGACCGCCATTCCTGCACCATCCACTCCTCCTTGCCACTCGCCCCCGAACGCCTTCCGATGTACCTTGTCCATCAGCTCCTGGCAACTGCCCCTCACAGCCTCCAGAAGCAGCCCTGGCAGGCGCTTTGGGAAGCACAGGTACAGACCCAGCGCAGCACCCTCCTCGCCTAGAGGCGCCACCAGCAGCACCAGTGACTGCGGCACGCCGCCAGGCAATGCGGCCGCGGCGTTCGGGCCCCCTCCAAGCGCCGCGAATGGTCCACCGCCCACCATCCCCGTTGCGGTGGCCCATGGCGGGCCGTGGCTGCTGGCAAGAACCCCCATACCACTGAGCCCACCTCCTCCGCCCAGCATTCCGTTGGCCGTTTTGCGCGTAAGGCCCATCAACATGCATACGTCCCCTGAAGGCTTATGTACATTTTGCACGTGCAGCTGCGTGTCCTCGATGACGGCAGTAGCGCTGGGTGCGGAGACCGCAGCCACCGACCCCACCGTTGCCACCTGTTCACCAACCGTAGCCTCCGATGAGGCCAATACGCGTGGGTTCAAGACGTGTGACGACGGCTGTTGGCGACCCGACCGCAGTCGGGCCTGCCGCTGGAGGTGCTGGAGGTGCGCCTGCAGCAGGGTGCGCTGAAGAGGGAATGCTTTGGCGTGGAGCGTGGGCGTGCAGGGGGAGCACATGGCAGCGGCCGCTGCAGCCGCTGCGGTGTAGGGACTGCCATCTGCCTGGCTTGGCTTATTCGGTTGGGGATGATGCGGGTTGTTGAGGGGAATGACGATGGAACGACTGCTTGCTGTGGGCCCAAGAGAGGGGCTGCGAGGAATGTCGATCGAGCCGGCAGCACGGGTGCGTGGGGAAAGATCCAAGGAGAACCGCGCACATATGAGCGCCGCCGGGTCCCTGCATGCGCAAGTTGCATGTACACGGGCCGCGCGGTGTATGGGTGTCCATACACCGCACGGACATTGTCTACGTCAGAAGGTGGGTCCATGCGGTTAAGTAGATTCTATGTGTAGATTCTATGGAAGACATAGTGCAGCCCATGGCGGAGGTCAAATGTAGGCGGGAAAAGAGGAAGAGTGGTCCACGCGTTCTCCTTTCCTGCACAATTTCACCCTTCCTGCCCCTTCGCCTACTGCGCTGCCTAGCTGCCTGCCAAAATGGAGCTTCATGAATCTGCTGGAAACGCTGCTTCGATTCAGCTGCAGCAAGCCAGCTGGAGCCAGTTGCAAGCGCGGAGCAACTGCAGCGCCTCTTCGCACCTCAGTAAGCTACTCGTCGGCGTCCCTCCCACGGGCCGTAGACGCCGTTTCGACATAGCTGCCGACAGGCCGCCCAGGTCCTGTTGTGATTGCGCTGACGGAGGCGTTGTGCCGAGTTGCTGTTGTGCAAACAACGCAACGTTTACGGAGCTGGACCGGCCGCCAGCAGCAGCAGGTGATCGGCACACCAACTTGGCACCGACTGCAGCACCGTTGGCCGGGAACCCTCCCCCTGCAAGGCCTTCCCCCGACCGCGTTGGGTTTATTCCCACGCCCGCATGCGCACCGCCAACCGCGGTCAGGCTCAAACTAGAGTGGGCCCCGAGGTTGCTGACGTTGCCATTGCTGGCGGCTGCCGCGGTGGCGGCTGCGGAGGGCTGCAGCAGCAGCGCGAGCGGCACATCGGGACCTGGTGGTACCAGCGCCGCCGTTACGTGAGCATCGAGGACAAAGCGCCGCTTAACATGCGCCGCCACGGCAGCGCATAAATTGGCAGTCAGGGCCGACATGGTATCGCTGGTGCCCAGGCGCGACAAAGCTGCCGCCAGCCAAGCGGCATTGCTACCCTCCGGTCCCAGCAAGCACATGGAGCAGGCAAAACCCAAAGAACGCAGCGCGCGAGGATCGGAGAGGAGTGTTTGTGGCTGCGGTGATGGAGTTGTCGTTGCCGAGTTCGACAGTGAAGCTGGAACGCCGCTGCGCGGAAGTTCCCCGTCGCCACCTTGCATGGGGGAATGCTGCTCCATCCACAACGCGCCTGCAAGATCGGACCCATGCAATAGGGGCACGGCTGCTACGCGCGTCCGGCGGGGGCGGGGACGGAGGCTGGAAGCTGCTGCTTTGGCGGTCAAGGCCGGGGACGGACCAACCTGCCGCTGTACCGCTGGCGTTGCACCCAGGGAAATGTCAGGATACCTGTCCAGGATGGCGTAAATCGGCGCCTGCACGGGCCGAGTTGGCAGCCGAGGGATATAGAGCCCTTGCAAGAAATGAGTTTTTCATTTGGAACTAGGCCCAAGTTGCTGGTCCTACCTTAACCTGTTGCATTTGCTTGAAGAGCGCGGCTTGTTGTGAATCTGGAAGGTGGCTTTCGTTGTCGTCGGCGTCGGCGTCGTCTGATGCATGACGCGCGCTCCGTAGCAGGATGAGAGGGACGTCGTCTTCAGCATGATCGCCCTCTGGGACAGCGTAAAACCTAGGAAGAGGGGCTAACAGTTCAGCACCTCATATGCGGAAGCACATGGAGGAGCAGGCAATACATACTTACGCAACAAAAGTCGCTCCAGTGACTTCTGGGCTCCGCAAAGCATCCAGCAAGCCGTCAAGGCGTTGGAAAGATGTTCCGGTCAGCCCGCTGAGCAGCCGGTGAAGCGCGGACAAGGCCGAGTCGTTGACCTCCTGTCCAAAATAATGCGAGGTCCTCTGCTTACGTCAATATATCTGTAAGGCTTCATATCATACACGATCTTTGCCATTTAAAAGGGCTGGCCGTTCTCAATAGACTTACCGGTGTACATTCCACGCCTTGAAGTTCACATGAACGAGGATGCTCATGCTCTGTTTTCTTCTTGCAAGTTTCAGCAGCAGCATTGCTTGACGAGCAGAGTCTTCCGAGAAACCTGAAAAGAGCCATCTATCATATCTTCCAAACTGGTTACTTTCCAGCGGTGTGTGCAAAATATGCAGGTGCCATCATGCAAGGTAAAGCTGCGTGTATACTGACAGTTACAGCCTTACGGGCAAAACAGCCGGTCACCTGCCTAAACGAACCGCAGCGGCACCCTGACATCGCCGTACACAACAAGATTTCCACTGCCTGGACTCGCACCAGCACGTCAGGTTTTATCTGAGTTTTCAATCCCTATTTGCATAGATGGTGATCTTGTCCAAAGGTTCATCCTTAATTGAGACCGCAGAGTTCATGAGAAACACCTTTATCGCCGACCCCAAGCGCTTCACACCATTGTCGACACACAAATATAACACCCATATTCTGAGGAGTATGAAGAATGGGCGAGCGCAGATGCATAAGGCGGCACGCGGCGCAGTAAGTGTGCTGCGCAAATCACTGGGGCCCCATCATCCCTCCGCGATTTCTACAAAAAAAATTTGACATACCCGTTTCGTTACCAGCTCTTTGCCTACCATGCTGTCCAATATCCGGGATTACCCAACCGTTTTGTACAACTCTGGCAATGTGTACGGATGTCGTTGACTGCTCGTTAAAGTTTCCCACATGGTTTACGCAAATGAGCGGATCTATCTTTCCAGCTTCCACCATGCAACTCTAGTCCACATCAATGCGAGGCGGCGCTATTTTTGCATCCAGCCATCTTCCCGTCCGTTTATTTCATGTCCAATTAACTTGAATGCACACAACTCAACCACAACCCGAGCACAAATAAGTGCCCAATGGGGTCGTAGCCCAAACCACTCGCAGACAAGTTATAGCACGCGCCCCGCTTCAATGGCCCTGTGCACCTCCCGGGTGAAGTTGAGAGGACTTTAATGCCTTCGTGTCCAAGCAACACGCCTTCACACCATACATCCTGTCCCCCCCAGACACACACATATTCCAACTTCAGCTTCAGCTTTTGACCAAGATGGAAACACTACACATTACCTTTACCCCTCCCCCCCATCCAGCACTGCTGCAGCACTCTTTCCTTGGCAGCAGGTCTTCACTCGCTCGTGGTTCGTCTTTTCCCCCCCCCATCCAGCAATGCCAGAAGGTCGACATGCTCGCCCCTTGACGGAAACGCAGCAAAAAGCTATCCGCCAGGACATTGTTCAAGCCCCCTACGACACACGTAGCAGCAGTAGTTCCCTTTTCTCCTATATCATCTCCTCCCAGATCTGCCTCCCGACCCAACCAACCTCCCGTACAGGAGGTCCTCGCGGGTACGACACAGGTCAAATCGCTGGGTCTGTGGTGGCTCCGAAGAGATCTCCGTACGGCAGACAACGAGGCCCTGACCGGCGCCTGCCGCCAGGCTGACGCGGTGCTGCCCGTCTTCTGTTTCGACCCGCGTGCCGTACAGCCCCGACGGGAGGCGCCTGAGGGGCTGGGAGTGCCCAAACTGGGGCCTCTGCGATGCAGGTGTGTACGTGTATGTATGTATGTATGTATGTATGTATGTACGTATGTATGTATGTATGTATGTATGTATGTATGTATGTATGTATGTATGTATGTATGTATGTATGTATGTATGTATGTATGTATGACGTTGATTACACTGTGGGCTGAAAAGCCGGGGGCCCAGGGCCGAAGCACAGCGCGGGGGGCGGGTGCATACGGCTGGTTAGTCTCATGCACTCCGCCCCCGGGTCAGGCCGCACGGGAAACGACGGCCGGCACGCAACAGCGCTTGTTTGGCGCTCCAACTAGACGGGATCTATGCCCGTTGGTCTCCTAACATAAACGAAGTCGCAACTGGGGGGCTCTTCCTGCCGACCGAACGAACCGAGCATCTCAGAGAGCTCGCTACCAGGACCTGGGCGACCGGGAGCCCGACGAGTCATCCCGGGCTGGGGAGGTCACCAAGCTCAAAAATCCTCACGCAATAAAAAGAGCGCAAAGAGCTCACACCACAAGACGCCAAACAGCCTCCTGAGACTACTACCCTCCTCCGCCTCTCCCTCCCTGGGCTAGTCCAGGGGAGATAGCCCCCGTCGGGGGGATAACACCGCACAAGTCCGCGCCCTTCCACAGCACTGGGTCTAACTAGAAAAGTACTCAAACGGGAAGACCCTGCGGCAACGCAGGGCGATCAAGCCTCCGGAAACCACAGGGGGGGAGGGTAGCCAGCTCGGCGCCCCCCAATACCGCTCTACCAGGACGGCTGGTTCCCAAGATCCTATCTCACCTAGACGCCGCAACACGAAAAACCCGGTCTCGTACCCTGAAGAACCTAGTCCTGCACCACGCGCGCACCTTCGAGTACGGCCCCTCCTTCTGGGTGCCCACCTCCCCCTCATCCGCGCCCTCGCTACGGCCACCTGTTTCCACTCACCACCCCTCAACCCTACATCCTCTTGGTGCTCTCTCTGCCTCTTCCCCTCCCCACCCGGCTCTCCCCGCCCTTTCCCCGGTCTCCCCCCCCTCCGCCGGTACGGTTCCCCCAGGCAAATAAACCCTCCCTCCCCCATCTCCCCTTGCGCGGCACCCCCCCAAGCCCCATCCCTGATCCCGCCCCCCTCGCAACCTTTCCCCTCAACCTCCCTCTCGACCTCCCTACCACCCCCACCACCTCAAATCCCCCCTCCGCGCCTCGACACCCTATCCCCTAAACTCCAGCTCCCGCCGCGTCCGCTTGACCATTAGGTCGTGATGTCCACCGCCTCCGCGCAGCGCAGTGCTCCCCCGACGATTGACAGGATCGGGTGGTGGGGTCCCACTCCGTCCCAGCCCCGCCTTGGGACATTGAGCGCGGTGAAAGAGCGCAAGCGCGCCCAGAAGTCCACTACTGCCCGAGCGCGGGCGTATTCCAGGGGGGTTGCTGCTGCTGTTGCTGTTGCTGCTGCTGTTGCTGCTGCTGTTGCTGCTGCTGTTGCTGCTGCTGTTGCCGTCCCCGGTCCCGCGATGGGCCCCTGCGTTTGATCCTCGAGTACCGGCGCGTTCAGCGGTGGCCCCTCGTGCGGTCTCACTCCGTTGGCTAGGTGAAAGAAGTCCGTTATCCGCCGCTGTTGGGGCCCTTGCGCCTGGATCTGTTGCGCTTGCTCTGGCTGTTCTGTCGCGGGGTTAGCCGCCCTTTCCAGTCGTCTTCCGGCTGCTCGCAGGCAGCACCTGCCTACCTCCATAGCAGACAGGGCCGCCAGGGCGATCACATCCCAGGGGGCCTGCTCGCAGCCGGTCGGGGCTTGGACCAACCACAGCTGCTTCCGGGTGATGCCGCCTGTCGCTGCCTCCTGGGAGGGCTGTATGTGTCGGTCAATTTGCTCCCGGACAGCTTGTGCGACGGGGCACTCCCAGAAGTGGTGCATGCGTGGGGAGCAGTGCTGGTTGCTGGCGTTGCCGAACCCTCCACACCCACAGCGCTCAGGCACCATGCGGGCCAGGTGCGTGTTGCCGGGCAGGGGGATGCCGTCCACGGCGAGCCGCCACAGCGTTTCTTTGTTCTCGTTCTCCCACCGCACCCCCGACCACAAGCGGGCTTGCGTCGCCCTGAAGCGGCTTGTTTCCGCTGAGGAGGAAGGTGCCGTTTCTTGCGGGTCCAACGCTTCTTGCACAAATGCTGCCATCAAGCGTCCCCGTTTCTCCTCGGTGGCCCCGCATTGCAGCTGTGTCGCTAGGCGGACCGTCAGGCGTGTGAGTGGGACGGTTGTTGTGCCGCCCNGGTATCTGCCATCCGACCCGCTTTAGGATCATAGCCATCGCCTGAGTGCTGTTGGGGGTGCTTGGAGCCGCCATGTCCCCCGCCGTTGGCATCTCTGGCTGCTGCTGTTGGGGTTGCTGCTCATGCGGCTGCGTCTGTAGCTGTTGCTGCGGCTGTTGCTGCTGTTGCGGCTGCGGCTGATGCTGTGTCTGTAGCTGTGGTTGTGTTTGCAGCTGTTGTGGCTGTACCTGCGGCTGTATGTATGTATGTATGTATGTATGTATGTATGACGTTGATTACACTGTGGGCTGAAAAGCCGGGGGCCCAGGGCCGAAGCACAGCGCGGGGGGCGGGTGCATACGGCTGGTTAGTCTCATGCACTCCGCCCCCGGGTCAGGCCGCACGGGAAACGACGGCCGGCACGCAACAGCGCTTGTTTGGCGCTCCAACTAGACGGGATCTATGCCCGTTGGTCTCCTAACATAAACGAAGTCGCAACTGGGGGGCTCTTCCTGCCGACCGAACGAACCGAGCATCTCAGAGAGCTCGCTACCAGGACCTGGGCGACCGGGAGCCCGACGAGTCATGTATGTATGTATGACTTAGATTACACTGTGGGCCGCGAGAGCCGGGGGCCGAAGCCGAAACACAGCGCAAGGGTCGGGAGCACAGAGCACAAGTCGGTTAGTCTTGTGTGCTCCCGACCCCGACTCAGACTGCCAACACACAACGCAGCCGCTCCATAGCATCTCCGTCCGGGGATGGTGTTGCAATGAAAAAAGGACGTGCTCTCAGGTCCCGCTAGAGCCAGTCCACGAGTCTCAAGTAGGGCAAAGGCAAAAGCTTTCTGGAACATTCCCCCCAAAACACAACCAACGACACAGGGGAAAAAAACCCGAACAACGAAATAAGACGGCTAGGGTAGCCCAGGCAGGGGAGGGCTCCTGATACACCTAACAAGCCAAAAAAGAAAACCTCCAAGAAACAAAGGCGTAGAGAGCTCGAACCACAAGACGTCTTTCAGCCACCTCACGACAACTGTCCTCCTCTCCCTCTCCCTTCCTGGGCTGGTCCAGGGGAGAAGTAACCAACCAAAGAAAAGGGACCACGCACAAGTCCGAGGTGCCACCACTGCAGGTGCCCTGCACAGACCGGCGAGACCACAAGCGGGACAACATAGCCACGACACACAGTTCCTAGACCCTCCAGAATACCGCAGGGGGAGGAAGGTAGCCCGCGCGGCGCCTCCCCCTTACCGTCACTAAACCGGAACGGTTGGTCCTCCAGAACATACTCACCCTGCCGCGTACTGCACCGCTCCCACCCTCGCCCCTCGCCAAGCAACCCAGTCCCGCAAAGGAGAAGTGCCTAAGTAGAATGGTCCTCCTCGGGCCACAACTCCCCCCCATCCGATTTTACGTTTGCTACTCTCTGGCCCTGGCAGCAGCTTCAATCGTGTGTGGTTCGTCTTTCCCCCCCATCCGAGCCCCGCTGCTACCACCAGACCTCAACCTCCCAAACACCAGAAAACCTACGTCCTTTTGGCGCTCTCACCGCCATTTCCCTCCTCCCCTACCCGCGCAACCCCACCTCCCCCAGTCTCTCCAACACCCTACAACCTCGGAGCGGCACTGGGGAGGGAAAAGGATTCCTCCCCGCACTACGTGACCCTCTCCACTCCACGCCTTACTCCTCTCCCTCTCCCGCCTCGGGGCTTCCTCTCTCCTATTCCCTTACCTCCAACCTCTATCCCCCTTCAACTCCCATACCCCGCCCGAGCCCTGCCCTACATACTACATACTACATACTACATACTACATACTGCATACATGTATGTATGTTTTACATCAATGCCGCGATGTGAGGGAAATGGCGAGGGAGTGCTGCACGAGTAACTTCATACCGAAGCGATCGAGTTAAGGGCAGAGCAGAGGGTCACGCCGCCCTTGTGTGTGTGTGCTGCAATTCAACCGAGCCGTGAGAAGCGAGGTAGTAGTCCTGCAGCAATCAAGTAGCAGCTATCCGGGAGTGTTTGTGTCGGTGCCTTGAGCCCAGAAGCTGGACCTCACAGACGTCTGTCTGTGTGTGTGTGTCTGTGTGTCTGTGTGTGTGTCTAGCGGGGTAAGGACCATCCCACAATGCTCCAAGACGAAGTGGGGGTCCAACTACCGACACACACCGACACACACCGACACACACCTACAAAACACCTACATACCGCACGCAACAACTGCCACAGATATACGTGAAGACGAAGCACAACTGCTACTATAACTCTGGAATCTCAACCTCTAAAGTTTAGCGACGTCTTGTCGTGTTTCGTGTTTCGCATGTGTGGTGTTGTGTGCGTGTGTGTATATGTTACATATTGACCTGGGCCTGGCGCTGGCCAGGGGCACCTAACCGTATACCCCAACAGGAACGACCACCGAAGCACTCCATCACTGGAAGGGCGTTATATCGGTCAGAGTCGTAACCCTTCTCCCTTGATCAACGCAAGGCGCCGTCACCTGTTCGAATCCTCTAGCCAGCTATATACACCAGCTCAGATGCCAAGCAACCTCCGTTCCACCGAAAGCGCATGCTCTACAGCTGCGCGACCTGCCAAAGCACTCGCACCGGTGCCAATCGCCACCCTATCCTTGCGAACTCTGCCGTCGCCCGATTTCGTTATCCAGCCGCCGTCTGGAATACAGTCTGGTCCAGGCCCTATGCCGCACTAATCCTCCGCCGCGGTTCTCTCGCTCCTTCCCTCCTTCGACCCCCTGGACTAGCTATTTATGGCTCAGCTCACCGCCACACTCCGCAACTCCAGCACTCCATCCATCCATGCCAACAACAAATTATACAACTCAAACTTACAAATTTTCTGCTCCGGCAAGACTGCCCTCCTTGCCTTCTGTTCCGTCTCACGCACATTTCACCCATGTCCTACTCTCCAGTTCCACTGGCCATGGGGAACTGGGTTCGCGCACCACCACAGGAGGCTATAGATACTCAGCCGTTCTTGTTGAGATGGAGGCGGCACGCAATGGCTTTGCATGGCTTTGCACTATGGATTTGCATACGCAGCACTGTGTATACACCAGATTCATGCATCACTCCAACGCCGCCGGCCGCCGCACCTGGCCCTCGCAGCTGTCCATAATAATGAGAGCGTACGTAGTCCAAACACGACACCGTTCCTCCACTTGCAGCCCAGTGCCGTACAGCCTCCCCTGCGGAATACTGCGGGGTGACTGCTGGCTGATGCCCCCGGGGCCAGGAGAGCTCCTTCCGGCTTCGAAGCAGCTGACCGCCCTCGATTCCCCCGCCCTCTGGTCCCCTCCTCTTTGCCGTACCGCGATAATGGCGATGCCTGGTACGGTGGCAAGGTTCCTGTTAGAGGGCCTGGTGGAAGTACGGCGAGAGGTATGGCAGATCCAGGAGGCTGCTGCCGCCCCACGTGTTTGCCCTGGCGGCACTGTAGCCCACCCACCATCACCGCCATCACCGCCATCATCACCATTACCATCTTCATTTTCAGCACCACCGTTCCCCCACGACGCTGGATTGTTACACACAAGCTCTGCATCTGAAGGGTCCGACGCCGCAGCAGTAGCAGTAGCAGTAGCAGTAGCAGGTGGAGGCGGTGGTGGTAATGGTGGTAATGGTGGTGATGGTGGTGGTGGTGGAGCCGCAGCGGCCACGGCAGCAGCAGCAGCAGCAGCGGCAGTGGGGGCACCTAATGAGCCCGTTCCTGTCGTAGATAGCGGCGCTGACATCAGCAGCTGCAGCAGCAGCACCGGCGGCGGCAGTGACGGCGGCAATGGCGGCAGTGATGGCGGTGGCGGTGGCGGTGTGCTGATTCGGTTTGGGCGGCCCGAGGAGGTGCTTCCCGGGCTTCTGACGCTGGCAGCGGAACACAACCCGCAGGTGCATGTGTGCGTACGTATGTATGTGCGTTTTAGTGGTGGGGTGTGCTGTCCATGTGCGTGTCTGGGTGGATTGGATGTGTGTTGTGTAAGATTGGTTGGGTGGGTGAGGGTGAGGGTGTGGGTGTGGGTGGACAGCAGCCTGATGCCGGTGCCATTTTCATCCATATGCTTAGACTACCTTCATTCCGTCAATGTTTTCCGTTACTGTTTTCCGTTGCCGGCAGTTGCGGCACGTGTCCCTGCACCACCACCTGGACGTGCTGGAGGAGGCAGTGGAGGTGGAGAGGGAGGTGGCGGGGGCGCTGAGGAAGTGGGGCGCCGCAAGGGGTGGGTGGATGGTAGTGGGTCACGCACCTACAAACCGGCCATCCATACAGTCGTACAGTCGTGGGTGGCGTTCCCCTCTAGCTCAGATTCCTGGAGCTGCGGAGCTGGGCCCTTGGGGGAGTGTGTGAGGTCCTTTGGCTTGATTGGGTATCTCTCCGCCTCCTCCGCCTCCTCCGCCTCCGCCTCCTCCGCCTCCTCTTCCTCCTGCTCTTCCTCCTCCTCCTCCTCCTCCTCCTCCTCTTCCTTTTGATGGCACTGGTGGTCAGGTGCCTGTCTTGTATACATGATGGTTTCGCCTAATTCCCCCAACCCCACCCAAATCCCCCCAACCCCACCCAAGGTGTGAGTGTTTCCGTACACACCTATTGGGACCGCACGCTCTACCACCCCGACGATCTGCCGTACCATCTGTATGATAGAGCAGCTAAGGCCTCGTCGCAGGGTGGATCGGGCATGGCCGGTGAGTGGGTGCAAATTAACGATGGATCGTACGGCATGTCCTTCATCGTAATCGGGCTAGGAATCTAAGTCACGTCGTCCTACAGCCTGCGGCCCCTTGCTCGGCCCCCCAAATCGCGATGTCATGAACTGGGTTACGACACATCGTGTCAACCCTGAGGACAACTAAATCGCCTCCTGACCAAAACACCCACACCCACACTCTCCTGTCACCCCCCCACACACCCAGGTGGCGGTCTCCCTCGGGCCCCGAGCCCCCCGCACAGCCCCACGCGGCCTCTGCCCCTCAACGCCGACAAGAACCGCTTCCGGAACCTCCCGCGGGTTATGACGGACTTCCGCAAGGTGAATAACTGAGGTGACCTCTTAACGCCGGCAACTTGGCGCCCACGTACACGCATCTCAACATCTGCTGTGTCTATATATGTGTATGTATATATGTGTGTCTATGTCTATGTGTATGTCTATATATATGTGTACGTATGTATATATGTTTGTGTGTTCTTGCGTACGATACGGCGCTGCTGCGCGCTTCCAGGTGCACGCACGGCGAGGTGCAGTGCCCTCCTGCTGTTGGGGCTTTCTGAGAGGGGCCTCATATGTGAATGTGTGCGTGTGTGTATGTGTGTGTTTAGGCAAGCAGATCTTTCCCCGCCAAACCCACACGTCCCCCCCCCTTCCCCCTCCCCCCCTCCTCCCTACCCTACCGCCCAACCGGCTCTGCCATCCAGGCCACGCAGGCCGCTGCCTCCGTACGACCTAGCCTGCCCGCCCCCACCGCCCTGCCGCCCCTGCCGCCGCCATTCAACGAGGCGGCCCGCAGCCTGGAAATGACTGCTCAGACTGTAGGACAACGGCAGCAGCAGCAGCACATGCAGACGTCGGAGGAGGGCGCAGCGGGAGGAGACTGGGGCTTGGGCAGCATTCCGCGGACGATTGAGGAGGTGTACGATGCAGCAGGGGCGCGAAGAGCGCTACAGCGCCTTCAGGAGCTGGTCGGGTTGGACTACAGCCAGCTACTGCCGCCAGTAGAGCCCGGTGAGCTATTTTACTTGTAAGGTTTCTCATCGGTTTTAAAGATGAATGTTGAGGTTTTAAATGTTTTCCCCCTAATAGCGGAAAAGGACGGCCCCCAGTCCTCGCGTGTGTGTTTCTCCTTTCGGGGCCCCCCATCCGAGGCAGCAGCTTCACTCGTTCGTGGTTCGTCTTTTCCCCCCCCACATCCAACCCGACCTCACCCGCTCCGCACATCCCCCTCCCCGGCGGCAAGAAGGGCCACCGGCGCCACACGACCCGCGTACGGCATTTCCCTTCCACGCCGGCTACAGCAGCGCCGTACGCCGCCTGCGGTACTACGTTTGGGGCCACCCGGAAGGGGCTCCCCCGGAGCTGCCAAGCGACCCACGGGACGGCGCCGGATCCAGCTCCCAGCCGCATGGGGCCCCCGTGAGCTCTCCACCCTCGTTGCTGTATTTCACCAACACCCGGTGAGGCCGTGGATGGGGGGATGGCGGGGTGGTGGGTTGGGGCGGTGTGAACCACTCCTTTGGAGGTGGGGCCTTTGGACCTCTGACGTTGAGTCTCCTTACGTCCCTTACCCGCGGATGATAGTCCATGGAGCTCAGCCCGATCTCACCGTGTAGGGCGCAGGCGGTTGGTGTGGACAGCAGCACTAAGTTGTCGCCCTTCGTGGCGCTGGGCTGCATCACGTCGCGCCAAATACATGAGGAGGTGAGGACCGGGGAGGACGAGAAGAACTCCATGAAGTCCATTTTTGAATATCATTAACCTTTCATTTTATCATCGACGGGTTTGATTCTACATAATTCTAGTTGGCCTAGTTGAGGAAATATCAGCTGATATTTCCTCCGGCGTTGGCTGGCAGTCCCCTTCTTTCCGTAATCTCGTTAGGCATGAGCTGTGCGAGCTGAAGTGACAAACGAATGCGAGGACACAGCCACTTTGCTAGGAGTCAGGGGGAGGTTAAAGAAGGATGTTTATGGGGCTTATGGTGGCGATGGCGGTGGGGTGTGAGGATGTGCTGGGGGTGTGCTAGGAAGCCCGCGTGCCCCCGCCCCCCGTCTTGATGAGCTTTTCTTGGATGGCCGTTCCATGTTCGTGTCAGGCTGTGTCGCCTCTTCGCCCCTCACACCCGCACCCCTCACCCCGCAGCTGTCGACCACACCACCGCTTCCCGGGTCCTGTTTTGGAACCCTTGTAAGCTCCCCCTTCGCCCTGGCGGGGGTCAACCCTGCATGGGTCTGTATCCGCGCGCGGTGCACGTGCAGGTGGAGCAGGTACGAGCAGCTGCTACTGCGGCTGCTGCTACTGCTGCATGCAGAGCCACACTGGCAGATACTGCAGCAGCAGGAGCAGGAGCAGGAGAAATAGCCCGTGCAGCGGCGGGTGGTGGGCAGCGTGGGGCCGGCGCTACTGCCAACCCCGGCCCGGCCTCCCCTCCCCCCGGCGGCAGTAGCTCAGTACCAGCCCCCGCCGAGTGTGATTGGCTGGCCATGCACCTGTGCATCCGGTGGGAGGGGGTGAGGGGGAAGCGGGTGTGCAAAACACACACACGGATTCAATGAAGGGGTGTGGCCTGAGGTCCGCCCCGATGTTGCCAGTTGCGGTGGTGGTGGAGGAACCAGAGAGGGACCATATAAGGGGGGAGCAGATTGGGCCCCCCCTTAATGTCATGTAAGCATGCGGGCGTGATGTGGTGGCAGGGGCTGGTCGTGGGAAGGCCTTTGGCAGTGTGGCACCGGTTCATTACACCCCCTCCCCCTGCTTTACCCCACCCCTCAGCCCCCCTCCCCTGGTGTCGTCTTTACCCCTCTCCCCTTCAGCCCGGTGCTCTTCCACTGCCCGACTGCCGCCGCCACCTCACCGCCACCTCTACTGCACCCCCGACCCCCTCCTGCGGCTGCCTCGTTCCCTGCTGGTTAGGGACTTCTTCATCTTCACGACGCTCAAGGAGGGTGATGCCGTACTGGACGAACGGGGCATTATGGGTCTCCCCGTCAGCTGGCGGAACGACATGGAGACATTCACTCGGTGAGCTGGGGCTGGAGTGTTAAGGCTCGAGTCCCTCCATGCAACCCCCGCACCCGTCCTTCTTTCCCCCTGTCCCTCTGTTTCATTTCCCCCCCACCCCCACGACCACGACCACCTCCTGCAGGTGGGCCCAGGGCCGCACGGGTCTCCCCTTCGTGGACGCCAACATGCGGGAGCTGGCGGTCACCGGCTGGATGAGCAACCGGGGCCGACAGAACGTGGCTAGCTTGCTGACCAAGGACCTGGGGGTAGACTGGAGATGGGGTGAGCGGGAGCTGAGAGGCGGGCAGGGGGGAGGGAGTGGGGAGCGGAGATGATACGCAAGGGCGCCGGAAGGTGTGGTTATGGATGAAGAGGGGGAGAGCAAGGGCGGCAGCGGCGGCTTGGGTGGTGGCGGTGATGGCGGTAATAGGGCTCACGTCGTTCACGTTGTTTTCTGCCACCATGCGCAGGTGCGGAGCTGTTTGAGAGCTTGTTGGTGGATTGCGATGTGGCGGTTAACTATTGCAACTGGAATTACTTTGCTGGTATCGGGAACGACCCACGCAATCGCCATTTCAAGACCGTGACTCAGGTGGGGAACGTTTGTGCTGCTCCGGGCTGCCTCTGTGTGTCAGTCTGTATTGTCTGTGTATATGGGGTGCGCGGGAAAGAGCAGGGAACGGGGAGGGGATTGTGTCGAGTTTCGGAACCCCATGCTGCAGGCACTGACTTAAGGTACATGCAGGTACATCATATGACAGCCCTCGGCGCAGAGTTGCATTAAAAATCGGCCATTAGCGATTGATGTTAGGGCCCCGCAACGGCTCCTACGGCGGTTGCAATATTATGGAAATTGCTGCTCAATGATCTATCGATGAATCCTTGATCATTCCAGGGCATGAAGTACGACGAGGATGCCGTGCTCGCCGCTACATGGCTGCCCGAGCTGGCCGCTCTACCGCCCGCTCTCCGCCACCAGCCCTGGGCCATGACGGCGGAGGAAGCTGAGCAGTACAGCTTTGTACTGGGCCGCGATTACCCTTTTCCTTTGGTCGACCCGGCTAACCATGTCGGCCAGCTGACGGGCACGGGGAAGCGCAGGAACAAGGCCAAGGCACAGACGTAATCCGCCAAGGCTGGCTTTATTATCAAAGCATGCATCTTTTACATTACTGGGGCTTGGGCGCCGCCAGGGTAATGACATACCCATTAGGTATAGATTCGGCCTCGCGCGCTCAACTTCAGGGGGGCTATGGTGTGCATGGATTTGTTAATCTTTACTGTGCTACATCGTGGCGGACAGTTCGAATAGCTGTGACCTTGGTAACGTTTTGTCTCTGGGTCTCCCAAAAGGAGCCTGGGCCCGTGCGTTAGGTAGGTGGCTGTGTAGTGGTGAGTATGGAGGAAAGCGTTCGCGTGCGAGAATATCCCGTTGGGCCATACTCCTGCTGCACGAGTTGGCGCACCGGGCTGTGAAGCTGGTAACTCGCCGACGCCAGGTAGGGCCGCAAGGACGAAGTGCCCATAATCATAGTAAGCATGAACTCTTGAGCTTGAACCGAGGGCTAATGGACTCGTGAACCAAGGGCTAATGGACTCGTGAACCGAGGACTTGTCCAGTCTTCACCCGAAATGCCTTAGTGCAGATCAGCAGTGCACTAGCGCAAGGAGCGCGGCTTAAGCGCCTCTTTACACCATGAGTTAGAGCGGCCAGCAAATGAGGGTGCCGTTCTCCGGCAGAACCATGCGCCCCCGGCCAACGCCGCTCCTTGGCTTTAGGCTCGCCCCATTACCGCTACTAACACCCTGGAAGGCTTTTAAACAGCATCACACCACACAAAAGAGTCACGGTCATGTTGAAAACGACAGGAGAAGACGGAGGTGAGACGCGAGAGTTCCTCCACGGCCGCCACGTCTTTTATATTGGTAGCCCTTTTTATACTCCTCAAACAGCAAACCCAAAGCCCGGGACACGCCATGTTGACGTATCTGCAGAGCCATACCCCTCAGCAAGTACCCCAAAAAGGGCGTCCGCCCAAGCAGAAGTGTCGAATGTTTCTGCGTTTTGCGAACACCCAGCTTCCCAACCCGGCTGCCCCTGCCCGGAACGCGTCCGGAAGTCAAATATTTCGAAAGGCGACAGCTCAGCACACAAAACCGCTGCGCCTGTACTTGTCACTCAGTGCCTCGTCTCAACAGCTTTACTTCTTGCCACCCGACTTGCCCTCCGACGCCGGGCACAGCACGTGGCGGCCCTTGGAACGGCGGGACTTCAGGACCTTACGCCCGTTCTTGGTGGCCATACGGGCCTTAAAGCCTGACGTCCGCCGGCGCTTCCTGTAAAAGGGAGTGTGGCGACCGGGGCAGGAGAAAGTGTGGACAGGGACGAAATATCCAAGGGCTGCGCAACCGAAGTTGCTGCACAGCTCAAAGGGTGCGGAGCAGCTCAAATCAACATGAAGCTCTACAAAGGGCTTAGAAAACTGACCCTAACCCTGCAGGAGCCAAAGTGGACAGTACCGGACCGGCTTGCCACAAGCGCGACGGCCCCTCTACCTATTCCGCGCACCTGTTTGTTCCCTCCTTTGTGCAGGCAATGGACTTCTTGTTGTTTGCCATTACCAAAAGGCCGCCACGAGCAGGGGCAACGCGGACCAGGCTGCTGCCAGCGAACGAACCTGTGCCACCACAAGAATTGCGCACACACCTGTCAGACTCAATCATGGTCTTGGCGCGAAATTACTTATAAAGGCTGCAACAAAACTCTAGTCGTTACAGCGGCAAACTTCAATAACCGAAGAGGTCGAAATGCAAAGCGACGGCGTAGGACTCACCACCCAGGAAAGAGCTGGTCTGCGCCGTGCGCGGAGCAATAGGCATGATCGCACGGCTAGTCATAGCGCTACGCATCGACGCCAAGCATTTGACGGGAGCAGCAGTCCGCGCGATGAACGCGCCACGCGAAGCCATTAGCGATGCCATTTTAAACTCTTCAATGTACCTATGCACAAACGAAGAATAAACAGCAGCTATGGAAAGGATCACCACAACTCCATTGGCAGGACAAGAATTTGTACGATTTCATGGTTTCAGAGCTCCAACTCAACAAGACACCATCGCCACATTACAGTATTGTTTTCTGCGTAAGGACAGAAATGAGGAGTGTAATTGACCACTGTTGTGGTCAATAACACAGTGGACAGAAATGAGGAGTGTAATTGACCACTGTTGTGGTCAATTACACAGTGGAAACATTTATGTCTGAGCTGGACTGACAAGTCAAGTCGAAAACATCTATCCCTCACTGTCAGATGCACGCGCAGGCTTGGGGGCCTAATTTTTCTGCTGACTCCTCAAGCACAGCTCCCAACCGATCCCGACCGACTTAGTGGTTATAGCCCGTCGTTGACTCCCAGGCTTTCGGTGACATGCATGCCCCGAAACAGTTCTTTCTGATCGCGGTCTCTGGTGCATGCAAACCCGACTTCGTGCCAGTGGGCATTTCCAATAGAAGGCTATAGAAGGGCTTGGGGGTTTCATGCTGGCCTTGAACGAACAGCTTGAACTTCAGGTCTCGACCGCAAGCACGGAACAGGTGTCGCTAATATCTATGTTGCTTAATTGGAATGGGTTGCGTTGGAGGGTGATCAGTCGTAAAGTAAGTGAACATTTTCACGTTCGAGGGTGACTATCAAACAAGAACCCCCAAAACACATCTTCAACCTAATCCTAGCCCGAGGTATCCTTGGGACCCACCGCGTCCCCACGACCATCAGGGACCATGTCGATCAATTACAGATACGAGTACACGTTCAAAAATTAACTACTGGGTGAATGCCTTTCACCGCACAGACATTTCGCACACAGCATAATTAGCTTAGACCTTGTAAGCCCGCCATTTTTAGTTGTAGACCTGTGGACATTTCATTATTGGATATGTACTTCCAGGGTTTACAGGTTTGGGATATATATCTAGCCGATAGCCTGGTCGTACATGGGTTCGGCCTGATGCCAGCGTATGAGTCGTCAATCGCCAAATTCACGACTCAAGATCTAATCCTATGCCTGACAGAGCTACAGGGGCGCGCAACTTATTTACGGTGCTGCCTTGGCTGAGGCAGTGGCCGGCAAGTAAGCCTACGAGGTGGCCCTTTTTCGGTGGACCTCCCCTCCCCCCCGCACCGCGGACTGGTACTTCAGCACTTCTGCAAGGAAGGCACCCTCCGTTACAACTGAGCTCGGCGTCGGAGGACTTTCTTAACCGCTGCCGGGGGCTACCTGGGCCCCCGCGCGCTTTCCTACTCGCTTCCTCCCCCGCTGACCCTTCACCCTCGGGCTCCACCATCCGATCCGGGAATTCCATGTCTGCCTGTGAACTCCTTGGGCTGGTTGGCGAGGTTGCAAAAGAGCTTCGCAGCACGCAGCTTTTGTTCGAGAGTGGGGGAGTGGGGAGCGGAAGGGGGAAGGGGAAGGGGGAGAGAGACGGGGCCGGCAGTCCGCAAGCAGCCAGGCGGGAACACGGAATGCGACGGACTGTCCTTAAATCGCCCCTACCTTCGCAGTATCCTCCAACTGGTTAATGTATGCCCCTCATGCAGCTTGCACTCTTTTCCCGTGCAATACCTCGAAACACCCCGAACGCATGTACCTACCACTTTATAACCCGGACATCAAAACATGTATGTTGTTACGGGGTGGTTAACTTCGCCAGCGGCCCCTTTCCCGGGCAGTCCCTGCTCTCCCCTGCTAGAGGGGCACCCTAATCCGTCACCCCATCCGACTTCAGAATGTATTCATTGGGTTCGGCAACTCACCACCAGCATTCAACCAAATCTAGCGGATCAACGGCGCATCAACTTAGTTCCTGGTTAGCTCGCAAGTTGATTTTATCACGTCCTACATCGTCCATATGATGGGGGGCCATCTCCCATTTCAACACTCCTCAAACACCCGAGGAGCCGGCAGGCGGATTTCAACCCGGGTGGGCCGGGAGCAGAAGTCAGGCCTTAACCTCTGCCAGCCGCCTGCTGTATGTGTGCTACGCAACGGGATCGCTGCTCGCCAGAAGGGGTCACCACGCCCTCCAATCGCCCATCATCAGCTCCATCACCCGCTTCGCCGTCCAATCAATCGGCCCTTCAAACCCGAGGACGTCGCCCTCCGACCCGACCTGGGTCCTTCACACTCCTAGCAACCGCCAACACGCACTCGCTCAACATCCGAAACAAGCCCAGAAACCCTGCCGACCTCTGGAGTAACCCCTTCGCCCTCCCTTTCCCCGCCACGCTCTGTCTGTTTGTCTGTCTGTCTGTCTGTCTGTCTGGTCCACAAGTGCTAAACCGCCCCCGGGTGGGGTCGATCCTTGTCGCATTCAAACCAACATCAGGCAAACCAGCAGTAGGTTTTGGTATACACAGCACGGAGCTAGCAACCAATCAAGTCGCGCCCGGTCTGAAGGCTCGTGGCTCCGGCTGTGATGATCAGGAGCACGGCCACGCCGCTGCGATCCAGAGAGGACAACCAACCCAACAAACTGCCGCTTTAACGACCCCCTCCCCCTCTCCTCCCTCCCCCTCCCCTCCCACCTGGATCTGCGCTACACAGCAGCTTTCCCCCCTGGCGCCTGACGGCTCCGGCCGCCTCGGTGCTTCCCCCTGGCATCCTGCGAGCCTGCCTGCCTCAACCCTGCCTGGAGGTGGTGCTGGTGGTGCATACACGCATGTACTACACAGATGTGTTGAGTTACACGCCTTGCCACGCACGTCAAAGGTAGTCCCGCATCTCCAGCACCTCCTCCGCCAGCTCAGTGCGCTCCGCGTTCATGCAGCAGGCCGCCAAACATGTGAACTGGAGGGGATGCGGCGAGAGAGAGTGTGTGTGTGTGCGCGTGTTTATGGTCTCAGAGAGAGAGACCTGTTTGTGCCAGGAAGCGGTGTAGGGAACCGGTATCGCATAGGGCATAGGCACACGTAATATACGTATGCCCCTGGCCAGTGTCAGGCCCCGATCGATATGTAACAAATACATACATACATATATGTATACAACCTCCCGGCCCTTAATGTGGCCAGAGCAGCTCTCTCGTCCCCTCCCAGCCACCCACCGTGCTGCCCTCTACGACTGCCTCTGCCCTCATCAACCGGAGAAGTATGTCGTACGCATCATCTAGGTGACCTGCGCGGGGGCCAGTCGGGTGAAGCCAGGGACTGCCGTGTCAGGAGTGCTGGTGGGGCCCTGAGGCTCCTGCGGCGGGGAGGGCGCAGCGCAACCTGTTGGCTTTGCAATGTCTGACTGAGGATGGGTCGTAACAGGGTGCCGATGACGTGCGCTGGTAACACACGGCCTGCGGTGAAACCCCCCTCCGCGACCACACAGCGCCCCTGCCCACACAATCCATATACAGCCGCAGCCTCCCCCCCTTCCTGCGCACCTTGTCTTGCCAGTGCGCGCACCGCCAGGTTGTAGGCGGGACCCAGCCCGGTCAGGTCGCCCCCGGCCAGCTCCGACACTTCTTTCAGTAGGGAGATGGCCCGCTGGCCTTGCTGGGAGCTGGCCAGACCCGCCACCAAGGCCGAGGTGGTGTCAGCTGAAGGGGCATAGCCCCGAGACTGCAGCTGGCGGTAGATGGTTTCGGCGCGCTGCCATTGACCCCCTGCAACACCATCGCAGATCATGACAGAGAGGAGGCGAAGAACGGATGGCGACTAGCGGGAGAAGGGGTCTGAGGCATGCCACATGCGAGATATGTGGGTGGAAAGGGAGTTTGGCGACAATTGGCAGGAGATGGGGCTGGACGACAGACAGGAAGGTAGGCTGCCGTACGCGTATATTGAAAACACGCTGAAAGTCAGGTCAAAGACGCATACCGCTGGCAAGCGAGATGACAGCGCTCTCGAGCGCACGAGGCTCAACGTCTATCCGCAAGATGTTGACTTCGGTGATTAATTCCAGCGTCTTCGTCCAGTCATCGCCACTCGAAAGCAACATTTCTGAATACTCCTCTGCAAGGTACGGATTCCAAAACGGCACAGGAAACGAGATTGGTAATGATTATGCAGCGCCGGCTACCTAGCCTGTAAGCTCTTCATGCTTTCGAAGTTTCTAGGCGCAAAGCCCTTGGAAGTGCATAACCAAGGCACACCTGCTGTGCGTTGGGCAGCTTTTGCTGCAAGATGTGTCCGGAACAACTGGGGCCTGCAAGGACAGCGAGGCGAGGCCCTAGCCTCCGCTCGACGGAGCTGACCGCAACGACGCAATCGAAGATCCATCCTAATTACGCGTATGGCTGGACCTTATTCTTGAGCGCACGTCTTGATAAAAGCAATCAGCAGACGTGGTCGACAAGTATGTGTTTAGGTCCAACGGAATTAACGACTTCGTCCGTCCAAATGTTGGCTCTACACTCTCAAGAACAAATGTCGAAGCTTCCAGATCAAACTGCATTTGTATAAAGACAATCTATATTCTGACGAGGGCCACGGCGATACCAATACACATTGTTTCTGCTCTTTGGTGTCTTCAGTCGCCTGCTAAGTTACATTATCACGTTCTACGCATCAAAATGACCTTTCCCCCTTGTTCAAGTATTCATCACGCAGATTGGCCTATCCAACCCACTTCAGCCCTTCTCCTGTAAAGCCGCCAACCCGTAAGTTATGGAGTCGAACATCCGTATGCTCCAGCACTTCACACCCTCCCTCCGGTCCACAAACCGGTTACATGAGCAGTGCCCCTTCCCATACCAGAGATGTGCGTAAGTCCAATGGCGGTGGTTGAGGTGCAGGGCATGTACGCATATCTGGGCTTTGGAGTGCTTGGGGACTTTGGGAAATCTCCCGGATGGGTGTACTGCGCGGCTCCGTTCGGTCGTGAGCCTTACTGCCATGTTTCATAACTGAGCACTTGGTCCTCTCCGTCACCTGTCATCCTCGGCGCCAAGCTGACGGCCGCCAAGGGGCTCGTCGCCTCTGAACCCCCTCACGGTGGTTTCTTCGTTTTCAATCTGTACCTTTCCCCTTCCCGTCAACTTCCCTCCATGCTCATGGCGTTCGGAACCTGAACGAGAAACACACGGATCCTTGAAGACGAAAGCAGCTGGCCCACTCCGCCTGGCTCGCTCAACCATCCGTGCATACAGCACATCGCGTTAAACGCGTACTTCACAAACCGCAACAATAAAGCAGAGCGCGCAGTACAACTTTACAAGGTTGTTACAGTACAACGGTTTACCATGAACAGATTGGTGTAGGGTAGGAGTGCGTGGTTGAGTTTTTGCATGTGTGTATGTGTGTGTCTCTTTGCTGGCATGTCAGGTGGTCAGCACACAAAAGGATGCCGCACAGCTCCCATGCGCCGGCAGGTGCAGCAGCAGCTGCTTCTGCTACACCAAAGGGCGGAGACGACACCCCCGGCTGCTGCTGCACTTTGGCAACCATCACATGGCTGGTGTGTGTTGCTGCATTTACCACTCGCCCAGTCGCACTGCCCTTTCACGTCTGACGCGATGTACCACTGTACACACACGCACGTCAATCAGTTCTACCAGCTCTCGCCCAAGAGGTTCAACACATACCCGTATGCATGCCATCCCGCCGGAGAAGTTCTGATGCGTGAAAGAGTCTCCTTGCATACAAGCCCCCACAACACAACACAACACAACACAACTTAGCTCGCCGCACGCCGCGTATCTTGAGGTTGGGGGCACAGTTGCCATCGCTGCGCTGGTTGTGTGTTACTGGGGAATGCTAGCCTCTGCTCGCTCGTGCCCCACCCATTGTTAGATTATTAATAGGATGCGCCGTAAGTTAGCAACAAACACCAACACCACCAACAATGCCATGGCGGCGTTAGCAGTTCGGAACCCCAGGTGCTGCTCCCGGTGCGGGCGCTGTAACAGAAGCTCCTGCAGCGACCCACATGGCACGGCGGCTCGCTTGGGCCCCTGAAAAAACGGAAGAAACTCCTTTGCCCTCCGCCACCCTCCTATCTCCAATCTGCCACAGCCACCTCACCGTCATCAGCCGCATTTAGACTCCAACAACCAAACTCCCAGAGGTCCTTTTGCGATGACCTCAGCCGTTGGTCTCCCTGTGTCGCTCAGGCTGGGGCCCCCGGTCCCGGCACCCTGACTGTTGCTGACACGGCGCATCCACATCTCGTCCATTGCCACTCTGTTGCTTCACAACCTTAACGTACGGCGCCTTCTCCCAGCCCCCATCGCCCCACTGCCAGTGTCCCTACCCATCCCCAACCAGCCGCCACCTCCCCGTAACGGGCTGCCGCCACCCAACCCACCCAGCGCCTGGCGCCCACCATCCACCTCGCCCAAGCCACTCCGGCCACTCCGCGGGGCCCTCCTACAGGAGCTCGTGTTAAGGCCCCTGCAGAAGGGTGTGGGCCAGCAGGCCCAGCCACTCGCGAGGGGAGGTTCGGGTACCGCGGCGGACCATGTACGTCGGATGTGGCCTCGGCTGGGTGACAGGTGCTGAGCGACACACCTCGGGCCCAGGTCGGGCGCGGCCCACCCTTCTAGCACTCCTTCCCCTTATCGGCCCCCGAGGATTCGCCCCCGCCATCCACCCGACTCCACCACCCCGACCCCACCCCCATCCCTCCGCGTGCACTCACTGCAGGTCCCTGCTGGTCTTGGCTGGCCTTCTGGGTGGCTGCATGAGCACCAACGACAGCACCACCGCCATGGCCAGATTGAGAGCCAGACTGACCTTGCTCTCAGTCCAGTGCAACCACAGAGGAGTAGTGTAAGAGGAGGAGGAAGAGGAGGAGGCGGAGCCGCCCAAGGCGGCGCGGCGGGCGGTAGAGCCGGCGGCCGTGGCCCCGCTGCTATCAGCGTCCTGTTGCTGCTGGTTGGCGGCGGCCTTCTCCCCGGTGGTGGCGCATTGCACCTCGTCAAGGGACTTGCGCAGCCGGGCGAGCTGAGCACACGTAGAGAAGGGGAAACGGCAATACGTGTGGAACGGAACGGAACAGACATGGAATGAGTGATGGATGCGAGCACGCGCGGAAGAAAATAATCTACATGGGTAGGGACATATGTTGACCAGCTTTTTACTCTGTTTCTCTCGACTTGGGTGGGACGGTGGGGGGAGGGGAGCGCGTGTGATTAAACCAACAACCTCCCCTCCCCTTCCTCACCTCCCTGTCTCGTTGCTTGACTTCATTCAGCAACCTCTGCACCTCCGTCTCCAACTCTTTGGCCCTCACGAAGTGCTTCTTAGCCATCGCGTCCACCGCCGAACCATTGCTGCGCTCCTGCTGCTGCTGTTGTTGTTGCTGCTGCTGTATTTGCCTGTCGCGGTCCGAGATCTCCCGTTCCAGCCGATCCCGCTCCTCCTTGTCCTTGGCCGCCTGCTCCTTGGCGCCCTCCACCCGGGCGGCCTGGAGCGCGGATTCAGACACCGGCAGGGACAGCTTGAGGGCCTGGGCGGCTGCGCGCACGGAGCCGGCGAGAGCGCGGGGACCGAAGTCCAGGGAGGCGGATGCGGCGGCGGCCTCCGCGGGCTCCAGCCACCTGGGGTGGGGTGGATCGGGAGGATTTAGGTTGGGAGAGATAAAGAGAGCAAGAATCCGCGAGGGAGACGTGAAGCCTGTGACGAGACGCCGACGCCAATGCCAACACAAGGGCTGGGGGCTAGGGGGGAGGGACGGGAAGTAAGAGAGGCAGGGAGGGGAGGGGAGGGGAGGGGTAGGCGATGATGTTCGGTGCACAGGGTGCGGCGGGTACAGTCTTGGTCGTGTGCTGGGTGGGCATATCCCCCAGGACGTGGACTACCCATAACCCACACGGCGGGTGCAAGCGGGTGTGTACCTGGATCAACGCCCTCCTCCTCCTCCTCCTCCAACTATCAGCAGCTACCAGCAACCCACTTACCCACACCGGCTCCCCCCTCGGGCCCCCGGGGTATAGTTCACTTCCCACTTTCTCGCATATGTTCCCCCCCTCGGGGGCCCCTGCCCGGCCCCTGCTTCCCTCCTTCTCCGCTCACTTGAGGGTCACGAATCGCGCCTCGTGGGGCTCCACCTTGATGGCGGTGAAGCGGCTGGTGAACACACCGAGATCCTCCTCCAGCCACAGATCCCGGACCTAGCAAGTATGGAGCAAGGACATGGCAGCAGCAGGAGGAAGAGGAGGAGGAAGAGGGGTAAGGCCACGTGCATTCATAAGGGTCGATATTGATGGGGCATAATGCTGTATCCTGTAGGGCGTATCACAGGATTCTGACTACCGCCGATCGGTACTTTTCCGAAAGTCGTGATACAACAAGGAGGGTAACCGGTACTAACAGACATATATCTGAAGTTACCAGGGGGATCATTTTTCCTCCACGGCGTGCCTGAGGCTCATGCATGCTTCCCTGCGCAAGGAGGCGTGTGTAGGGTGTAGAATAGACGCGAACCACCTATACCTCTGACCCATACCCCACCCACATCCATCTCTTCCACCCTCCCCCCGCCCTTCCCCCGCCCTCCCATCTCCTCGCCCCACCAGCGCGGTGGCCTTGGGTCCAGGGGCCTCCACGGGGTGAGGGCACCCCTCCGGACAACTCAAGGGGCACTTCTCCAACATGAAGCCTGATCAGGACAAAACAGCCAGTAATGCGATGATGAAAGGGAGCAGGGGGCTAAGGAGGTGAAGAAACAAATGAGAACTCGGACTTGTAACGGGAGGGCCACCTGGATGCAGATGTGGTTGAGGTCGGGGTTGGATGATGTCGGGGTTGCTGCTGTGCGATGGCAGCTCCGGGGTTGTGGGCAGCAGTAGTCACGGCCCAGTCGGGGGGGGGGGAGGGACCAACATGAGGTTCCAGATGGACTGTGGACACGTCGGGTCACGGTGGGCTGTCACGTGATATTGGCACAGCATGACTTGTGGCCAGGCGGGTAGGAGCTCCACACTGCCGCCGGCAAAAGGCGGCACCACTCCCACCCAGGCTCTCGCCCATACACTCACCTGCATTCTTCAGGCACTCTCCGGACTTGGCCCAGTCAGGGCACAGCTCGTGCTTATCCACACAGGTGGGGCCCGAGGTGTTGACCGCACGACCCCACTTGGCGTGCTCGGTGGGGAGATCGCGACTGGAGGGCAGTAAGGGGGAGGGGAGCACACATGGATGGTGCTGTTAAGGGCTACGGGAGGGGCTATAGGGTCTTAAGGACGGGAGCCGCCGACTGCGACCATTCAGATCCATCCACATATCAGCCACCATCACCCGCACTTTCACCACCCAAAAAATTGTGGCTTGGGTCTCGTCCGGTGGGGGGCCCAGGGGCACGGGCTTTCGCTTCCTTGCCCTCATAACTCCCCGCACCCGCACCCGCAATCCCCTCTCCACCCGCCCCTCCCTCCCTTCATACTTCTCCCTCCGTCAGCAACTTTGGACGTCAGCTGGCAGTTGGTTCCCCTTCTTGGCTTTCTTGCATGTAATTCCGCACCCCCCCTCCCCCATACACCCCAACCCCACCTGAACTCCGTGGTGATATCCACTGTTGTGTTCCCCAGGTTCACCAGCAGCAGGGCTGTGCGGCCATCAGCCAGCGGCTTGGCCCACACCTCCAGGGCACCCCCCCCCGGGGAAGTCCACACGGGCCGGCCCTGCACACCCAGGGCGTCCTGGTTCACGGAGAGGACCTCGCGGGCCAGCAGAATCTACAGGAGCAAAGGGGGCCGGGTGTGGGGACGCAAGGTGGGAAAAGGCAGGAAGGAAGGGAGGGAGTAGGAGGCGGGGGTGGGGTTGGCGAGGAGGAAAAGGTAAGGAAAGGAAAACTTGGGGAGGATAGTATGCAGGGTCCCTCGTTAACCACTTATTCACAACCGACGTAAGATGTATCAGACAAAATATGTACACGCATGCGCCCATGCTTCTCCGTATGAAGCAACAACACCCCCATCCCGCCTCCTCTTCCGACCGCTGGAGCTACATTCCACACCGTCCTACGCAAACTGCCTGCGTGAAATCCAATGACGCAACCCGCCAGCCAGCCCGTCTGCACGGGCAGCTCTCTTGCTTCCGCGTTCCCTCGACATCCCCCTTACCTGCAGTGTCGCCTTGCTCATGACCCGTGGGTCGTTCCCCAGGATAAGCGGTGCCGCCATGATGCACCAGTAGGAGAAGTGGGTGCGTTGCTCCGTCTGGGTTAGGCCGCCCACCTTGCCCCACCTGGACGAGCGAGGATGGGGTTGAGGAGGTCGATGACCGGGGGTAGGGGGAACCCGGGGGAGGGAGTGCGGGATGCATGCATGTACGGACGTCTGCCCGACTCACGCCATGCCGCCGCCGAAGCCCTGCTCCACCTGCCTTGCAAAACGCCCTCATTATCCCCAACCCTTTGCACGCAGCCAAACCTGGTGATCCATCCACCCATCCATCCATCCACCCATCCATCCATCCATCCATCCATCCACCCACCCATCCATCCATCCATCCATCCATCCATCCATCCATCCATCCATCCATCCATCCATCCATCCATCCATCCATCCATCCATCCATCCATCCATCCATCCATCCATCCATCCATCCATGCACCCATTCATCCATCCATCCATCCATCCACCCATCCATCCATCCATCCATCCATCCATCCATCCACACTTACCTGTCACGGCTGATGTACTCCCCCGGCTTGCAGTCCTTTACATGCTCGGGACACTCCTGTACGATGCCGTACGGGTACATTCCGTCCAGCCCCACCACCAGCATATCCGGGTCGTTGAAGCCGCCGGGACCCGCGTGCTCTGCCAGCCCCTGCGTCTGCCGGACCGCCCCTAGGATGGGCTGCAGGAAGGACGGCAGCTTGAGGGCACGGGCCTGGGCGGGGTCCCAGGCAGCGAACACGTCGATGCCGGTGCGCCAGGAGTTGCCGACCTGCGCCGGGGAGGGAGGGGAGGAGGGGGAGGACGGGGACCTCGCGGCAGGGTATCGTAGCTTACGTGGGCTCTAAAGCGGGGTGAGTAGGGTCAACTGCGCTCCCAGAAAACGGAGGGAAGGAGGATGAAGGGTGGCGGCTCGTAGGCAGACTTAACGGCGGGTTGGCCCCCCCTCCGCGCTATTAAAATATCCCACATCTTCCGTCCTTCGTCAACGCCCTTTCGTCTTTATCC